ACACATCTGTGCTCAAAGCTCTTTACAACACATCTGTGCTCAAAGCTCTTTACCACACATCTGTGCTCAAAGCTCTTTACCACACACCTGTACTCTGAGCCACAAAACCGCGAGCTGTTACAAAATGTTTCAGTCTTTTAGTTTAGATTTAGCTTCAGTAAGTGAACAGCTTTAAACTGTGCTCCCACTTTATTTACGTTTTAAAGTTATTAAGTGATTGAAACGCCCTCGTTAAGAGTATATGCAAACATTAGAGGTTAAATGAAATGAACGGGGTCCAGTTTCTCCCACAGGTGGAGCTTCGATCGGAGCCTACCTGTCGACAAACAGGACGATCTGATCCTGGGATCCTAGCTCCTGCAGGGCAGCTTTCAGGAGCCGGACCTTCTGTCCTCCTCCAGGAGCGGACACGTAGTCGCCCCCGCTCCATGGCTCCCCTTGACCAAGAACCTGGAAACAACGTCACCGTTTAGGAAACGTTGGTGTTTGTTGACGGGGGGCGGAGGGCGGCTTTGAAAATCCACCTTTTAAAGCACGACGCCTCGCCTTTAACCCATCTTCCATGAAAACCAACGAGTGCATTAAAGCTAAACGTGAGCACGTTGCTTTTTCTGGAGGAGATACGGCAGCTTTGTGTATAAAACCAGGACAAGAAGCTCGTGCTCTGCTGCTCCTACCTTCACCGTGTAGTTAAAGTGTTTCGCCGACCTCAAGAAGCGCCTGAATCCGTCCGTCTCTTTGGTGGCGACGGTCACAACAAGAAGTTTCTCTGGAAGACAAAAGCATGAGCTCGTTTTGTTCTGCAACCGACTGGACGTGACGATACGAGCTGCAGGTCCTCGCCTGAATAAATAATGATGCTGAAAGGCTGTTTGGGGAATTACAGGAGTAAACTCTGACAAAAACTGACAATGGCTTCAGCAACAATAAATACATGTTAACGTCAGGGATGTGCCGAACAGTAAACAGATGTTTCTGTCATCTCTTCAGCTGCACAGATACTTTCGTTGTGAAGTGAACGCGCCTAAATGTTACAAACTGAACGCTCCTTATCGCCCGCCGCCTCTCAGGACAGTTTTAAACGAAGACGTTGACAAATGAGCGTGCTGTCAATGACTCTCAGCTACTACCACGCCAACCATTAACTCAGTGTCTGTAAAAGTGACAGTTGTGGCCACTCCTGTGTTTGCTGAGGTCTATTTGCTGTGACGGCCATCTTGAATCAGGTTGACTCTGAAGGTGCTTTAGAATAAATCTAAATAAGTTCGTCCGCGGTTCAGACCGTTGAAGCGGTCGGGTCGTAGGTTGGTTGGACCAAACATGGGGTCAACAGGTTTGGACCCTGTGGGTCATTTTAAACCAGGATCTGACCAAACCAGACCAGCCTGGACCTGCAGGAAGTAAAGATAAGACGGTTGAACCTGGTTCATAGCTTTAGTTGTCACTTTGACTAAAATACCAACACAACGTTGACCTGGTAACAAATATTAACACTTTTTTTTTTTTTTTAATTGTATGGTTTTATTTTGGGGTTGTTTTGATTTTGCCTACTTCTCAAATTAATCACAAACGTATTAGTCCCAAAATAAATATTACCAAATATCAATAAAGCAATAAAACAATTCTCAACTTAAGTTCTGATATGCAGAATTTACATGGACGGACAGATATATACTTTATTAATCCCAGGTAGCATTTGATAATTATACAAAAAATACATAAGAAATAATCAAAAAGAACCTAAGGCTGGATTATAAATATTTTACAATTTGTGTTTTTATTTACATTTATCAAACCCTCAGCCTTTTTTAAACTAACTGGGTAAAACTTGGATAACTGACTCTTTCCCAGGATTTAAATCCGCCAGATTTATTACTTCTTCTCATTTTAGCTTTGGTTTAAGTATTTACTGATGCAGTCTTACAAAAAAAAAAAAAAGCATTATATTTATAGTATTTATTTGTGGCTGCAAAAAGCTGACTTTATTATTATTACCCCGGCTCGGACTCAAAGAAATAAAGTGATAAATCACTTAATATCTTAAAGAACAAAATGACTTAAATTTATACAAAGGTCTTTTGTCTTCTGGGTAAAGATATGCACTCAGGAACACATTAGACTGGTTTGTAGTAAAATAAAACATTTGTCGAGTTATAAAATCTGACTTCAGTATCAGATTTCAAACAGTAAATGTATTTTGGTGCTTTGGGTTAAAATAAATAAAAGCTGTTGTGTTTCTCCTGTCGGTCCGTTTGTAATCCCCGAAAGAGCCCGGATGAAAACATTTTTAACTTAAAGCTTATTTTTAACTTTTGCTGTGATAGAAGCGCTGCAGCTGAACGCTGCCTGGGAGTCCCGTCCACGTCATCACGGAGGTCTCTGCGGGCGGATCGCTCTGTGGCGAACTACGCAGCAAAATGTTCAAATTTATCACAAACTGCGTTTTACTCACAGAAACACATCGAAAGGCTCCACGTAAAGAAGTTGGGAGTCTTTGATCAATGCCGAGTTATAATTCGGCGTAAATAAAAAGTTGTTAAAATAAAAGTTTCGATAATAAAATCTCAGTTTTTGTTAACTTGCCGACTTGATATTTAAGCTAACGAGAGGCGCGAGCGGTTTAGAACGTTGGCTTTGCTGCACGCGAGTTTAGCTGCTGCTGGAATGTTCCGCTGCCGCAGGGGGAACAAAACTCGACACAACACCCGAACGTCTAGTTGACAGCTTAAAAGCTGTTTTTCCAGAGCTCGGAGCCACATAATGTTCCGAGCCACCTCCCTCAGCACATAGCGGGTCTGGAGCTGCTCTACGACGATGAGAAACCCCGTTCTGAGCGTTAAAATCAGCTTCAAACATGGTGTAAAGTCTCGGTTGACTAACCCTCCGGGGTCCGCTGCTCCTCGCAGTGTCCCAGCGATAAAAGTGCGAATAAACACAAACAGGACAGCAGTGACGGAGCAGAAGGCGACATTTTGGTCCAACTCGGCGTAAATCTGCAGCGGAACTCCCTGAATAGACGAAGGTTTCCTCGTTTTCTCTCCCGGGTGATGATGTCTTCCTTCCCGAACCTCGTAACCCCGCGGGGGCCGCCTGAGCACTTTCTCTCCCCCTCTAGCTTCACCACTCTCTTACCACCTGGACTGAGCGCGAGACCACA